TAATCCCCTTCCTCAAAGTCTTAACAGGTAATGTTCATACCTCATAGCTTTCAGCATAGCTTTCTGGCTTCATCACCTACCCATTTCCCGTTTCCTACCATTCCTTAATTTACTCTGAGTACTCACTATCAAAAACTCTCACTTCTGCCAGAATACCTGTCCTTCCTCTTTCTGCTTGGAAAACTTTTCCCTAAAAACATTGTTCTCCTTATGTCACCAAATAAGCACCTCTTCAGGTGATGCTCCTGGGCTCGGTGCAGATTCCACCATGGGAATCAGTGTGCTACCACGGTTTTTTGGTTCTCCTCCGGGGCATATTACAGTGTTGTGCTTTTTTACTCCTTGGAAGTTGGCTGTGTGACTTGCATTGGCTGGTAAAATGGGAAACGTGAACGTTTTAAGAGCGAGTGTAATTCTTTCCCTCTGTTAACTGCTCTGTTAGTCTTTCTCCTGGAACAAGGAATCTGAAAAGCAAAGTACTTAGTCAACCCTTAATGGACATATGACAGAAATGAAAATAAAACCTTGTTGCTTAAGCTGCTGAGATTTAGGGATTGCTTGTCACTGAAGAACCTGGCCTATTCTAACGGATACACTATCTCTGCTTTGATGTTTCCAGACCTGTCCTAAACCGCGATGTTGCTGCCTTACTTGAACTTGTGTGCCACTTTTTCTGTGTTCTACTTATCTAGTTCTGATAACATATTGCCTCATATCGCTAATTAGCAGTTTGCTGTTATGCCTTAGCCACCTCCACAACTCTACTGAGGCTTCCCGAGGGCAGAAATGTGCTCATTCCATTTTTATGTCACACAAAATATATTATAATGGTGTAGGATTCAGATTTGTTTTGAATGAGCCTTAGTTTCCTCATCTCTAAGATGAGAGTAATAACATATACTCTACAGATTTTTCTAAAGTTTGTGGATAATGAGTACAATGTTTGTGGATAATGGGTACAATGTTTGTGGATAATGGATACAATGTATCGTTCTCATTATTCACTTTTATTATCATTATAAATGGTGTTCAGTAGATACTTGTGAATAAATCAATCTTCCATGGATTGAGGTAGCAGGCATCCTCAAACTACGGCCTGCGGGCCACATGCGGCCTGCCTAGGACATTTATCCAGCCTGCTGGGTGTTTTTGCTGCCACTGCCTGCCCTGCTTAGTAGTCAACTCATCCCAGGGCCCACAGGGCCCTACAACGGTCTGAGGGACAGTGAACTGGCTCCCTGTTTAAAAAGTTTGAGGACCCCTGAGGTGTAGCATTAGACTTGGAATCAGAAGTTCTGGATTTAAGGCCTAGCTTTGGGGCCAGGCATGGTGACTTGCACTTGTAATCCTAGCACTCTGGGAGGCCAAGGAAGGTGGATTCCTTGAGCTCAGGAGTTTGAGACCAGCCTGAGCTAGTGTAAGACCCATCTTTACTTAAAAATAGAAAAACTAGGCGGGCATCATGGCAGGTACTTGTAGTCTCAGATACTCGGTTGGCTGAGGCAAGAGGATCACCTGAGCCCAAGAATTTGAGGTTGTTATGAGCTATGACACCATAGCACTTTACCCAGGGCAACAGAGTGAGATTCTGCCTCTAAATAAATAAAATAAGAGGCCTTGCTTTTTTCTTTTTTTTTTAAAGAGACAGAGTCTGTCTTTGTCGCCCTCTGTAGAATACTGTGGTATCACAGCTCACAGCAACCTCCAGCTCTTGGGCTTAATCAATTCTCTTGCCTCAGCCTCCCCAGTAGCTGGGACTACAGGTATCTGCCACAACACCCGGCTATTTTTTGTTGCAGTTTGGCCGGGGCCAGGTTTGAACCTGCCACCCTTGGTATATGGGGCTGGCACCCTACTCACTGGGCCACAGGTGCCGCCCAAGAGGCCTTGCTTTTGTCACCGGCTTTGTGACCTTGGAAAAGTCACTTACCCTTTCTGCATTTTTTGCATTCTTAACTATAAGAAGTGGTAAGGCTTTAGAGGGATTTTATAAAGCTTAAATGAGATAGTATGTGAGGAAACAAGCATCACACTGAAACTGTAATGACACAGAGAAGATTGGTCTTCACATACAGACCCGTGGACATCTGTGAAGCACCCAGTGTGCGCCAGCTCACTTTCTTACATGTTTGCCTTTCCAACTACGCTGTCAGCTCTTTGAGATGATGAATTGTCTTGTCATTTTTTTTTTTAAAGTTTAAATGTTAGTTTGCTTTTCCTTGGACAAGAGTAATACATGCCCATTGTAGAGAAATAAAAACATACAACAAAAATAAAAAGCCCAGAAAAATTCTTATCTCTTTCTCAATGATCTCTATTAACTTTTTTTTTTTTTTTTTTGAGACAGAGTCTCACTCTGTGTTATGCCCTGGGTAGAGTGCTATGGCATCATCGTAGCTCACTGCAACCTCAAACTCCTGGGTTTAAGTGATCCTCTTGCCTCAGCCTCCCAAGTAGCTTGGGCTACAGGTGCCTGTCACCATGGCTGGCTGGTTTTTCCATTTTTATTTATTTTTACTTATTTTTTTCTTGAGATAGAGTCTCACTATGTCACCCTCAGTAGAGTGCTGTAGCATCACAGCTCACAGCAACCTCAACCTCTCAGGCTTAAGTGATTCTCTTGCCTCAGCCTCCCAAGTAGCTGGGACTACAGGTGCCTGCCACAAGGCCCAGCTCTTTTTTGGTTGCAGTTGTCATTATTGTTTTAGCAGGCCCAGGCCAGGTTTGAACCTACCAGCCTCAGTATATGTGGCTGGCACCCTACCTACTGAGCCACAGGTGCCACCAGTTTTTCCATTTTTAGCAGTGCAAGGTCTTGCTCTTGCTTAGGCTGGTCTGGAACTCCTGAGCTCAGGCAGTCCACCTGCCTAAGCCTACCAAAGTGCTAGAATTCCAGGAATGAACCACCGTAGCAGGTCTTATCTCTATGAACCTTTTGATGTGTTTTTTTTCCAGTTTTCTTCTGTACATATATAGTTATAAAACAGATACTACATCACACATGCATTGTCTGATGTCATTAAATATTCTTACATATATATACTCACATAACAATTATTGCATTTTAATCATTCTCCAGTTGTGGAATAGGTAAGTTGGTAATGCTTTCTATTATCTAAATAAAGCTGTAACAAACATTTTTATGCATATGTATTTGTCTGATTGTCTATTTCTGTTGGAAAAAATTTTAGAAGGAACATTTCTTGGTTAAACAGTATGCTCTTGAAACTCCTAAATTGTTTTCCAGAAAGGTTAAATCAAGTTCCACTCCCAAGCAAGGTGAGAGGTTATACATCTCACTGAA